TATATATATATAAAAAAATGTTTAATAATAAATAATATACACGCAGGAATCCCTCTGCCCATGACAGAAATACAGCTGCCTCTGGGGAGAAATGCAGAAGCTGCTTAACAATGCCCAGCAACAATTCTGGAAATTCCTGGGGATTAGGTAGGCGAAATGTAGTTACTGAAACTAGTATTTTCTGCTTCTGCAGAAAGTGCCATGAAAACTTTAATTGGTACAAGTGGCTAGGATCTTAGTTTTATAGCTTACTAAAAAGTAAAGTACTTGCTTTTGACAACAAAATAAATATTTGTAATTAAAACAAAGCGGCTCCCAATAGTGTCATGTGGTGGTGGTGGTTCTTGTCTCTGCCTTAGGTGTGTTTTACATGTGAAGTAGAAGCTTTGATGATCTTTTGCCTAGATATTACCCCTGGAGTGTTATCTCATAAACCTCCCACCTCTTTGTTATGCATGATTAGTTGTTTAAATAATTGATTTCTGCAGATTTTGGTCTTCTACTGATAGGTGTGTGGACACGAGAAACCATTCCTGTAAGGACTTGTTTTGGACCTTTGATCGGGCAGCAGAGCCATTCTCTGGAGGTGGCTGACTGGACAGACAAAGCAGCTAGTCACATCTGGAAGGTCAGTGGATGTTACGACTCACAGAGTCTGCAGGCATGCCTTTATCTGGTGAAAGCCACCACATGACACTGCAGCTTTAATATCATCATCCTTGCCAAAAATCAAAATTAATTCAGTTTGATTGTTTAATACTTAATATCACATAGCAGAGCTGTATACTGGTTATCAGTCCTGAAGTACAACAAACTTCGTTAATGCCTTTTCTTTTAAAGGGCTGTATGTGGTTTCCAGTATTTGTGTGGAGTTGCAGCAGAGGTTGTATATGAATTACTAGGCAGCACTTGTTTGTTTGTTTTGTATCATTGTTTATTGAAAATTCTCCCAGGTGATGAATGATTTGCTTTAGCAAAGCTGCTTTAAAGCTTTGTTTTTCACATCAGTTCATGTTCAGAAAGTAAAATTGATCTATATAAATAAAACATGTAGTGTTTGCCCAGATATTATTATTCACAAGACTTGGCTTGTAAGAAAAGCAGCCAAATGCATTTCTGTTGGGAGCTAAAGGTGGTGTATGGGAAAGATGCTGATAAAACAGTTTTTCTTGCCTCCTGGGTAGCAGGGAGGTCAAGATTCCTGTGGGAAGGGAAAAGTAAGGAGTAAGAGCAAGGCTGTGGTCTTGGCAGTGGCAATGGAGACCTCCTGGCGTGTTCTAGGTAAACACATCCTCTCTTAAAGAAAGAAGCTGGCTTTCGCTGCATTTGTTGTTGTGTTTTGTCCTAAGACTGCACGTGTTTTTCCTAATAGATCTATCACAATGGTGTCCTGGAGTTCTGCATCATTACAGCTGATGAAAATGAATGTAACTGGATGATGTTCGTACGCAAAGCCAGGTGAGAACCATCTGTACTGTCCTAAGTAGCTTGGAGTCTGAGCTGCAGGCTTGTAGGAGGCTGTGCTGGTGAATGTGCGCTGCTGGGCTGACTGCTCAGATAGGTAATGAGCTCAGGACCAAGGGATCTTCAGGAGTTATCTAGGCATCTTGCACTGGTGGGGAGAATGAAACAGAGCACCCAGTGGAGTGCTGGGGGTACCAGTATGGGGGAACCAGTACGCATGCTGTAGTAAAAGAGCCCCAAACCTGCCCACATACTTTGTTTCCCTTATTCTAAAGCTTTAAACCAGGTTCTTTTCATATTAGCTTACTGTGTATTAGTTTGTTATTGCCTTCCCTCTGTCCCATTCCTTTTGGATACATCTGTGAAGATGACATTGATTGTCTTTTTGATTTTAATACTTTATTAGCAAAGTGTCCCTGCGTTCTTTTCGCCAAGTTCCAAGCTCTTACAGCTTGCAAGAGCTGTCCTTTTCAGTTTTTCTGGAGCCTGCGATGAAAACTATCCAAACCGGCTTCAGTATTGCTCCACACATGGTCCACTGAGAAGGCTGAACCTTTCCTATTGCTCTGTGACACAAAGTAGGTTTCTCCTGCAGTTCATCTCATTGCTCCCATATGCAGGAGTCAAGAAGTTAATGACTGATCTACTGCAGTGGGGCAAAGCTTTTGCTGGTTTCAGATACTGGGAACAAATATATGCAAGATACAGCTTCAGAAGATGAATTATCACATCTTGGAAATGCTTCTCAAGAGTTATTTTGGAAGATAATATTGCTTTAAGACTTTACTGATATTTATTTCTCCCTCGTGTTCTGTTCTCTATTTCTTAAGGGGGTTACTATGAAAAATATGTATATTTTTGTAGTTTCTTAAGACATCATGAACTCTCTTCTCTCAGCCCACTCCAATGTCTATTAATAATTTTCTCAGCAAGATATCACAGTGGTGTGAAAAATGTATCATTTGGTGGAGCAGATTGGCTCTCAAGGTCCAGTTTTCCTTCACTTTAATAAAGAAGGATAGAAGTGACAGACATGGAAGTTTTTATAATGCGCTGACAAGCATTGAGGTTCTCTCATTACCTATTTATAGGAATTTCCTTTTTTGTTTTTTTTTTTTTGTTTTTTTGTCTCAAAAAGTCATTATTTCTGGAGGGCTTTTTTTCATAACTCTCATTATTGCTATAGGAACCGGGAAGAGCAGAATCTGGTAGCTTATCCTCACGATGGAAAAATTTACTTTTGCACCTCTCGGGACATCCCACCTGAACATGAGCTTCTCTTTTATTACAGTCGGGACTATGCACGACAGCTTGGTAAGTAAGCGCTCATCTTTGTTGGCTTTGCCGGGAGTACTCAGCTTGAATTCCCTTTTAGTGCCATCTCTGAGCACTGTGACTTGGGACTGTGTTGTGTTCCTTCTCAGTTCCTAGTGGTGCACGTCATAGTTTCCTTTTACATTTCATGGTGACAGGAGTACCATCATTTAAAAGAAACATTTCACTGTCTTAATTCTACTGATGAGGAGTAAAAGATGGCAGTTTCAAAGAAAAAGGGTTGGTTTTCTTCTGTTCATGCATCTGGTGCGAAGGGAGTTTTGCTAGCTGAAGATGTTCCTATCCTCCCCCACCTTTGGTTGTCATAATTTAGGTTTGGTGAAGCTGTGCTCAAAACTAGTCCAAAGTTTGGCGCCCCAAAACATTTGTAATGGCCTGCCTAAAAGAGCTGAAAAGCAAGCACCGGAGCTGAAAGGAACCGGGGTGAAAAATCTCTGCAGCTGACTTTGCTACCACCAAGCATTAACATGGATCACACTCATGCTCTGTTAGGCCTTGCTGTGCCTCATTAAAAGTGATGCTTTTGTGCCCAAAGGTGTCCCTGAACATCCGGACGTGCACATCTGCCACTGCGGAAAGGAATGCGCTTCCTATGCGGACTTCAAGGCCCATTTGAGCAGCCATATTCACAACCACCTCCCCAGTCAGGGGCACAGCAGCAGCCATGGGCCAGGCCACGGCAAGGAAAGGAAGTGGAAGTGCTCCATGTGCCCCCAGGCTTTCATCTCCCCTTCCAAGCTCCACGTCCACTTCATGGGGCACATGGGCATGAAGCCGCACAAGTGCGATTTCTGTAGCAAAGCTTTCAGTGATCCTAGCAACTTACGGACACACCTCAAGATACACACAGGTAAGGGTTAGGGACTTTACAGAGATGCCTGTGCTAGTACAACATTGGGGCAGGACCTGTCCTCTCTGATCCCTTGGCCAGTTGGCAGGGCATAGCTTGTGTCCATAAATCTAAGCTCTTAGAAACATAGAATTGTAGAATGTTTTCAGTTGGAAGGGACCTTTAAAAATCATCTAGTCCAATCCCCCTGCTGCGGGCAGAGACATCTTTCGCTAGATCAGGTCACTCAAAGCCCCATCCAGCCTGACCTTGAACACTGCCAACGGTGGGGCATCCACAACTTCTCTGGGCAACCTGTGCCAGTGTCTCACCACCCTCATTGTAAAAAAAATTTCTTCTTTATGTCCAATCTAAATCTATCCTCTTTCAGTTTAAAACTGTTGCCCCTTGTCCTCTGACTACAGGCCTTGGTAAAAAGTGTCTCTCTGTCTTTTTTATAAGCTCCCTTTAAGTGCTGAAAGGCTGCATTAAGATCTCCCCGGAGCCTTCTCTTCTCCAGGCTGAACAACTCCAACTGTTCCAGCCTTTCTTCATAGCAGAGGTGCTCCAGCCCTCTGATCATTTGCATGGCCTCCTCTGGACTTGCTCCAACAGGTCCATGTCTTTCTTGTACTGGGGACCCTAGAACTGGAAGCAGTACTCCAGGTGTGGTCCCACAAGAGCAGAGCAGAGGAGGGCAGTCACCTCCCTCGACCTACCTTTCTAAGAATGGCAGCATCCTGTCTGTAGGAGTGATCTCTAGTCTGTGCTGATCCCAATTAATGCCTAGACGCTGCCTGAGAGCACTGGTTGGCATGGGAGAGGACTCTGCTGGGTTCAGTGGTGTGGGTGCCTATAGAACAGTACGTAGACCTGTGTTCTGGCTGATTGTGCCATGTCTAAAAGCATTTGATGAGTTGTTGAAGTTGACTGCCATTGGGAAGAAGTGTTGGCCTTTGTCTAGGAGACAGAAACCCTTTGTTCCCACACAGCAGATCCAGTGCTGAGAGCTATGATAAAACAAGGGTTCTCTTCTGCTGATGAGAAAAAGCCAGCTGGGTTTGAGAGCTTGTAATGTGGACAGTTGTCCACTTAAATGTGGGGCTGAGATCTTTCCCGTTTCCTGCTTGAATTGTTTTTCACCTTAAGGAAATGGCACAGGACTGAAATTGGCGACTGTGGGGTCAGGCTGATGTGGCTAAGGCTCAGCTCTGTCACTCACCAAAACTTAAGTCTGAACATCCTGTTGACTTCTGTGGGCATTTGAAATCACTAGAGGCTTCGGGGATAAAGGGACAATTGCCAGCAGATCAGTGAATGAGTGCTAAAAGAATAAAACAAAATAGCAAAAGACAGGAAATACAAAAAGGGATGGATTTAACACAGAGTGAGGATAGGGGATAGAGGGTGAAGGTCAAGTACAGGCCAGCAATAGACAGTGTGGATATTTTTGCCTCTTTTTTTAAGTAAGGTTGAAATAGCTATTGGGAATCACAGAATGCAAATCACAAAGCTGGAAGAGGTATAAAACTGGGAGCTCAGTGTACTTGAGTCAAGCATAGGCAGCTGTGGGCTCAGCAGTGAGGCGTTTTAATAAACTGATCAAGTACAAATGTGGTATACACAACTGCAGAATACTCGGTGGGATAGGGATTCAAGTGGTATTCAGTCTGAATTCAGTGACGTGCAGGGGTTTGAACTATTTCTGGCAAAGTATAATGGAAGAATTACAGATAAGTCGAAAAATGGGATAAAACATAGAAGTTACCAAAGAACCAGTGAGCTTTGTACATGTGTGTTTGTTAGATAAGAGAACTTGTTTTTTCTAGACAAAGGCAATGCAGTGCATCAAATGTGGTCGGGCTCCGGTAAGGCATCAGATACGGTTCCTGGGGGAAATTAGCGGAGATGGGGATGTACTAATGTACAGTAACTAGATGGCTACCATGGTTACTATTCAATAGGAAGCTACCATTATTTTTACTCAATAATTCATCTTGGATAAGCCTCATCTTGTTAAATGTTTGCCTGAATCTGCTAGAAAATTTACAAGTCTGCTGGTGATGTTTTGATATGCAGAACAGGGAGGCACAGCTGATGTAGAAAAGAAGCAGAAAGTCTGTCTTACAGGAGAGGCTGACTGACTACAAGCACTGCAGGGAGAGGAATCAATGGTGTTTAGATGGACAAAGTGCAGAACCATGCATCACATGAAGGGCTCAGTGGTTTGAAACAGTAGCATCAAGTGGGGTTTTTGGCCTAAGGGCATGGGGATGAAAAGCTTTGGGAATGATGAAATGATGTCAGATGCCTGGGTTTTTTGCATAGCAAAATCTAGACTATAACTAGAATGGCCTTTATGCTGAGTCTGAAGGAACTGCAGAACGAAACAGGTGCTGTTCAAAAAGAATCGACCTTTCTTCAGGGTAAAATTTTATTTTTTGGAAGTGGTCAGACTTGTTCCTTACTGTATTTCTTGGGACACTGACTGTCAATTTGTGGGTTTACATATGTAATCCTAGGTCAGAAGAATTATCGCTGCACCCTCTGCGACAAATCGTTCACCCAGAAGGCTCATCTGGAATCGCACATGGTCATCCACACCGGGGAGAAGAATCTGAAGTGCGATTACTGTGAAAAGCTATTTATGCGGAGGCAGGACCTCAAGCAGCATGTACTGACTCACACGCAGTAAGTGATCTCACAGGATCTGTTGGACTGGCCAGTCCAATAAATAATGAAGGTGAACAGCCCAAGAGAGAATCTCCAGTTTGCAAAGAGTTTGGCCTACGGAATATAGGTTCATCCTCTAAAATGACAGAGAACTCAATCTGGACAAATTCCTTATTACTGGCTGAAGTTGTTCTATTCTAGTGTTTGCAATATTTTAATGACAACAGTAAATTCCAGCTGTGCGCCTTGCCTTGTGAAATAGCATTCTGGAGTGGTCATCATTTTGAAGAGAGAGGGGGGGTTAACATTTGGTTCTCACCAGAGAATTGTTTCCATGTCTCAACATGCCCACAGAAAATCATAAACTCCTCAATGCTATTCTCACCAAGTAGCGTGTTAGTGAAGTCTCCCTCTGGGTTTGCACCAGGGGTGGGGTGCAGCCATTCCCAGCCCTCACCTCCCCCCAGGTCTCATTCAGGCATTTGGTCTCCTGCTACTCCTGCAGGGAGATGCCCATGGTCAGGGCAGATCCCTGCTCCAGGTCCTCCTCCAGATCCCTACGAGGTCTCTCCCAGCCCCTCAGCTCTCTGTCAGGCCCGATCTTTCCTTTTGCTGCGAGAATCTCTCCATCCTGTTCAGTTACTCCCAATCCAAGCTCCTCCCTCTCTTTAAGCTGCTTGCCCAGAGCTGGTCCCTCTGCTTATTTCATTTTCAGCATCTGGTTCTTGTACTCACTTGGAATCGACTGCTGCTTCTGTCGTGCTGCCTAGGAGACAGCACAGTGCAGCTAGCGTGAGCCAGAGAGAGGCAGGCAGACAGGCAGGCTTGCTTTGCTGCTTGTTCTTACGGCCAGAGCCAGGAGCACTATTGCTGGGAGGTGTTTTGCACAGTCATCTACAGAATTTGACTGTTGCAGTCTGGTAAGCTTCTGCTTAGCATTTATAGACTGAGGTTTGTTAATGCTCAGCGGTTTTTTCTTTTCTGTTCTTTTTTTTCCAGGGAGACTAACCTTTCCACCATGGCAACATCTCTGCCCTTACCAAAACATAAAGCTGAAATACAGTTTGGTCTTAGTCAAAAAAAATAAACAAACCCCATGTAGAATTCTTTCTCCTTTAATTTATCATCAGGAAAGAAAAACAGTTGGTTGCAAACTAGCAGTTAATCCAAAAAGCCTGACTTTTGCCAATGATTTGCAGGGGGGAGTGGAGAGTAGAGAAGAGGGGCTTTGCATACCTACTGTGTGAGAGAAAACTGAGTGGTATTAACACTGTAGTGCTGCAGTAGTGCTGTTATTTCTCCTCTGCTTCTCCTTCAAGTATATTGAAAGTAAGATTTAGGAGTAAGACTGACCCTTTCACCCTTCCTGTCACCACCATCCCACTATTTAATACCATAGCAGCTGCCTTGCCGCAGGAGCAAACTCTAACTTTTTCATGTCTTGTAGAGAACGGCAGATCAAGTGCCCCAAGTGTGACAAGCTGTTTCTGAGGACAAATCACCTGAAGAAGCATCTCAATTCACATGAAGGAAAGAGGGACTATGTCTGTGAAAAATGCTCCAAGGCTTATCTAACCAAATATCACCTCACTCGCCACCTAAAAATATGTAAAGGCCCCACATCCAGCCTGTCTGCCCCAGAGGAGGAAGAGGAAGAGGATTCAGAGGAGGAATTAATAGACTCTATGAGGACTGAAGACTGTAGGATTAACAATGGAGTCTATTCAACGGGTGATGCCCTCTCTGGACACAAATGAAGAAAGGAGAGAGGGGAATTTTCTTGGATGTTATAACTAAGGAAGGAAAAAAACCCCTCCTCTTGTTTCCCCAGTCAACAGCATATGTCAAATGAAGAGTTTTCCTTCTGTTTTGGTCTCCACACTACCACCGCTTAATAAACTCTGTAGCCAGAACACTGAATGAGAATGGATCATGCACGTACAAGTGAAGAGTTGCTAAGAAGGAAATGTGAGACAAGGAGATTCTTTTCACACGCACTGTGCATATTTCTTTTCCAAATCACTCAGATTAATCCATCCCGTGCCAGGATATGTGATACACCCTGTGTAGCCCTTTGAGTAAAGAGCCACAAACCAGAAATGTAGTTGAATGAGTGCAGTGGTGACCTGTAAGCCAACTGTCCTTAACTGCCAAAGCCATGACAGTAAGAAAAACAAACAAAAAATGGTGGTAGCAGTTGATGTATTTTGCTCTTTAATACTTTTTAACTGAAGGATGGGGTTTGGCATAAAGCAAAGACTTATCAATGCTCAGGTTTCCTTCTTTAAAAAAAATAATCTTTGGTTAAAAAAAAAAAAAGCCAGTGAAATCAGCATTTGCAGAAAGAGCAATTACTACACTACAGAAAATGAAACATTGGCTTTTGGAGAACAGTTATTGCCTCTTCTCACTCTGTTTCGCTAGAACATGTAAGCAGGTAAAGAGGTAAAGACCATGTAGACTCAGTAAGGAAGAGGCTTACAGATGATCAGACAGTGTTTACAGTATATGTTACTTCTTGTGCTGTAAACCTTTTACCACCTAGAATGATGGGAGGGTTTGCTGCTAATATTATTTATGGAATGAATATGTATTTCATTCAGTTGTTTTCTTTTGAAAAAATTAAAAATGTGGCTCTTTCTAATGTTCTTTTTTAAATATTTACACATTCTGAAAAAAAAAAAAGGTTCCTAGCTCTGATGATGATGCTAAGAGAAATAACATCACTTTTTCAGCACCTACCTCTCCTAAGCTTTCCTAGGACAAGGTATGGGTAAGAGCACCTCCATGAACAGACACAGCTAAGAACCAGTCTTGAAACCTTGTAGATTTGCTGTGTAGCTCCTCTGGCCCTGCTGCAAAAGAAGTCAGCTGAGCTCTGTTCTCTGACAAGGTAGTGGGAGGTTCCCTTGTGAAAGAGGCTCCAGTTTTTGCCCTAAGTGGCCTAAGTTCAGCTGTACCTCTCCCCGTACACTTAGAGAGCTGCCTGGGTTCTTCAAACCTGAAAATGCATAATGCTTCCCCTCTGAAATCGGTATGTGAATAAAAAGCTCCAGAAAGACAGGTTGAGGGATTTTGTTTAGTCGAGGGAAAGATGCATTCCTTGCTTTATGCAATGTCTTCCTAAAACAAAAAGCAACTCCTAGAGCTAGAGTGCCAATTAATAAATACCAGAGGTAGAGATAACAGAAATTACTGCCCTGAAAGAGCTTAACGCAAAACATTTATTTCAAATGAAAGTTGCAGCTTTTCAGTGGAGAGCACTTGAACAGAGGTGGTTTCACCTTCTTAAGCATCACAAAAGCAGATATTCATTTGTTGTCCACATGACTATTGTTTGGCAGAGAAAGAATTGAAGCAGGAATCCCAACACATCCAAAATATTCTTGGTTCCAGCAGAGCCATGCTAAGCACCTGTCACCAAACTGGAAACAGCTGAATTGGATTTAGAAGCGGCCACTTCAGGGGCTGGGAAGGAAACCTACAGCCCTGCCTTTTCCCCATCTGCAGTTTGTACTGATACAACGTACCTGCTTTACCTCACCAGAGTGACTTACAAGGAGCTAGAGTGGCAAGCGGTGGTAAGATCTTGTCAATGATAACAGGCACGGACACAACAGCTGTGTTGATACCAGTTGCCCTTATCAGGGCATTTTTGCACCAGCAGGAGCACTTTAACAGACACCTTCCAGCATGTGGAGAGGGCAGCACTTCACAGGAGGATAGCAGTTATCCTTTAACTTCTGGCCTGGGGTAAGGCACTTGGGTGTTCACTTTAAATGTGAGGGAAGTGTTCGAGTCACATTCCTTGATTAGGTTCCTGATGTAACAAACGGTGCGTTTAAGTCAGTGGTTAGGCTGATTCCCAAAATGTTCATCTGTGCCTTCAGGTTTCAAGCAGAAATGCCCGGGAGGAGTTAAGAACGTGAGTACGTAACATGGACAGCTTTCACCAGTGACGGTGACCAGCTGAGATCCCTGCCCTTGCTTTGTGTCCTGACAGCCTCTCATCCTCTGTTGAGTAGTAGCTCCTTATTTCAGTTCAAATTCTCTTTATATATATTACATTTGGAGCTTTAAAGAAAAATCTAGTACAAATGCAACATCAATAAGGTTCAGGTGCTGTGGAAGCAGGGAAAAGAAACCCTTGATCTTGATGGGATAAGGCTGGGGTATTTCTGGTTTGATATTGGTGATCCGAGGTGTTACAAATACATTTCAAGAGTCTACTCGAGGACTCCAACTTACTGCCCAAGAAGTAACTCTTAAGATTTAAAAAAGTTACACAGAAGAACTTTTAAAATCTGTATTAGAAATCTAAATCTAGCTTCAAATTAAGGATAAATTATCTATTTACACTTGTTAATTTCATTCAGCTTTTGTTTATTACACAGCTGTTGTCTGAAGTATTTTTCCTTATGCCCTTAGAAGATATTTACCTTCTTTGCGGTAGCAGCAGAACACCTTTCTAGTGACTGTTTCATTTTATATATCAACTTTACACATAGTTAGCCCCTTTTCAGGGATCATAATCTCAGGCAAAAGCAAGTGATTTAATCTTTCAAAGCCATAATAGAGGCAGGAACTTAGAACTGCTGATTTAGAGCTTAACCACGTCACCATGTTTCCTTGTCTGAGAGGAAGAGGCTTGCAGATTGCAAGACACTAGAATCTTTTCTGTGAACTCCCACCGAACAGGGGGACTTGCAGAATACGCATTAGTCGTAGTCCCATTAATTACTTTGATTTTTTGCTGTTTGGTCCATCACGATTCCATTGCTGTCTCCAAATCGTTGCTGCTACTGCCGGCCGTGGAGCTGCAAGCCACAGAGCTGGCACTAGCCAGAACAAGTCTCTCTCTGTTTCCAAAAACTTCATTCACTGCAACACAAGATAGGGGATTGCTTACATGTTGCTCTCCCGGAGACAAGACAGGAGGTAGGGCATGGTGAGCATCATGGAATGGAATGGAAATCCTAACCTGGTGCAGTTTCAAAGCTTTTCCCCTTACCCCGCGCGCAGGGAGTTGACGCTTACATGTCAGAACAATCTCCCACATATGATACTTCAATTACAAGTCCTGTTATTTCTCCCCCAGAGCATCTCTAGAGGTTTCCTTGTACATAATTCCTGTGCCTAAGTACTGTGAAATGGATGAGTTTTGCAGAGCAAAACATTAGTTTAAATAATTTATTTCTGGTTCTAGTCTCTCTGGTTTCCACCAAGCTCTTAAAAGCCTTCTCTAAAAATTCATGCCATTTAGTTACATGTAGCTACAACAATCGATCAAAAACAGTCCTCACTTTTATTCCTACAAGTACTCAAGAATGTGATACTTGATTACACCAGGAACATTAAGAAAAAAGTAAAATATAGGTATTATAAGAAATCAGGTGTTACACTTCAGCTACAAGAAAATAAATCATGTGGCAAACACAGTGCTCCAAGTTAGAAAAAAAACACATTTTTTGAAGCTGAAAACGTGAACACATATGCAGTCTTGAGGTATTTAAAAATACTAACCTACAGTTTCTGTCAGAGCCACAATACATTACTGAATATACAAATATACCCTGGGGGCAAGCGGAGAACCACAAGATTCAAAGAAACAAGAATGTTACCTGCAGAAATCTTGCTTATATCCCAAACACGCAGCCCTTCTCGCTCTCCTCCAAAGGCAAAAACGAACGGGAAGTCCGGGCAGCAAGCTGCACAGAAGAGAACACCCTGGGAGGGTGGGATGAAGAAAGAGGATGATTTTTTTTTTTTTAAATAGGATCCTAAAATGAATTTGTCATCTGAAAATACTTTCACCAAGCAAGTTTTAACAAATGTAAGCTCTCTAAGTTTCCTGAAACTTATTTTGTAAAAAGACACAAAAATAAAGTCAAGAGCTGCTAATTGCAAACAGTAAAAAAATCACATCTTGAACTTGGCAGATACACGTTGGAGCACCTCTAGTTCTACTCAGAACATTGTATCTGGTACTCAGGTCTGAGGCTTTGAAGCAGTCTGCCAATTACATGTTGAATTGAATACTGCACTGTAATGGGAATGATTTACCCAGAATACACAGATGTGATCTTGTTTTTTTCCTAAAAGATGTTATGTTAGGTAAAACAAGATTCAAGCTAGACAAAAAAGAATAAGCAGACATAGCTTATATATAAACCTTCTTGGAATCAAGAAATGAGTATTTACCATTTTCATATCCCTGGAATGGATTAAACTTGGTCTGTCTCCCAGGATATCCCAAATTTTCACGTATTTGTCAGCAGATGATGTCACAAGGCACCCTTTGATCTGACTGCTTAGTTGTAGCCCTGGAAAATTAAGAGCACAGCAGTGTGAGCATCAGGCAATCGCTATTTCACAGAGATGAGGATACATTTTGAAGAGAAGTCGTAAGAACAAACCCAATATTCTCCTCACACTAAACTCTGTTCCAACACGGAAAGGAGCAAAATGTTAATGGAAGTTTCATGCTGCCACTGCTCCTGTAGTGACACCAAACTGACTTCATGTAGGCCTATTTTGTTTCCCAATCCAAGACAGTAACAGTGCAAAGATGCTATCATTCTGCCTCTTACTTCACATAATCTGGCTGCCCCAGGTAGTTTTCTTCATTCATTTGCCAAAGACCATCTCTTTTGCTACCCAAGACGATGGGGTATATTCATATGATCTCCTTTTAGACACCCGATCAGGTGCTTCACATTGCTTTTTAGAAGCTCCTACACTGATCAGATAATTAAAGTAGCCTAAAGGAGGCAGTGTGAAAACCTTCCCATGTGCCATGCCTAAATCATCTCCAGAGCAAATGGCAGTATAGAATAATTACGCATACAGGACGTAAACGTTATCGTTCATAATCCTGGACCAGATGCCACAGTTTTTGGTTCTTCCTCACCCAAAAAACCACAGGCGGTGTGTCCCAAGTGAATAGAACTGTTTTGACACGCTTATTCATGACATTCACTCAGAAAAATTCACTGTGGCTAAAATA